GGTCAGCTTTACATATTTCAAAACTGAAAGTTCCAGATAGGTTTCTTCCCCAGAGATTTTTTTTCCACTTTAATTAATTCTTCAATCTCTATTGATGATTTTTACCAGCATCATCAGGCAGTATTTACATTTGTTTGTTTTTGTATTAGAATGTTGATGAACAACATGTGAAAGAACCAAACCCAAATGAGTTCAAAGATATCACTTTGTCATTAATGTAATTTGGGGCTCATTTATCAACAATCTTGCATTCTCAGATGCCATCTCAGAGGTCATGGAATCCTGTTCCTAAATGTCTGTTACACCACAGAATTTTGTGGGGATTTTTACCACAAGAGGATGAGATGAGAGTCATCTCCAGATCAGAACCTCTCCTGGCCCTCTTTTCTCCAGTGTCCCAAATCTATGCAGTGAGCAGGCCCCTGGGCAGGCCATAAGGGAGGGGTTTGCAACACATATTAAGGTTAAACTCTTTGCTTTGGTTGTGGGTGCCTGTCACTGCAGCACTGCTAAATTCCTGCTAATTTCAGCTAAGCTCTACGTATTTCTAATTTCAAATTTCCTTGCCCTGGTCCCTCTGATGCCCTCCCTGACACCCACGTGTCCAGTAACCTGACGTATTGCTGCACACAATCTGCTCCCTGCCTCAGCAAGGGCAGCTGAACACACCTGGGAGCTGCTCAGGAAGGGCTGATGGAACACAGAGAGCCCCTGCCAGTCACCATGAACGGGGCTGCCCCAAGGAAATGAAAATTGCCTGCCTGTTCTACACCCGTGTGCTGTGCAGATTAGAATATGGCTTTAGGTATTTGGGTGCTTTAAGCCTGAGTGTAAGATTTTTTTCACCTCCATAATAATGAAGTGGAACTAAATGCTCTGTTTTCCAATGTGCCACAAGGCTGATTAAATAGGAGGCTGACAAAGGGGGTTTAGAGCAAACATTTAGCTTTGGGTATTCTTTTGTTTGTTATTTTTGAACAGTGGGTTGGAGCAGATTACAAAGCTTGAAATGAATATAAATAGTTTCCTGGTTTAAAAAAAAAAAAAAGAAAAAAAGCAGAAGAGGACCTAATTTAAACCTTGCCCTGAGGAGCTGGCAGCTCAAAGCCAACACGTGGAGTTGTGTAGTGGAACTGTAAAGAGTAATTCCTCACCAACAGGAGCTCAGCTCCACACTCAGGTCCATGCTTGTGTAAACAGCTTTACGATTTGTGTCAGTTGTAAAGTCGTGCTCCAGGAAGCCAGCCCAGAGGAAAATGGGAAAGCTGCAGGTGAGTAGGAGGAGTACACCTGGTGAGGGGGTGAGCAGGAATGAGGAGACAAACTGAGAGAGGAGTGCAGCTCAGATTTGCTGTAAGATGAGAAGTAAACTTCTGTGAAACAGCAGCAATCACTATTAAAGCATTTAAAATTACAGTATGAAGTTACTTCAGGTCCTATAATTTCTATTTGAGCAATTACATGATTTAGAATTTAAACTCTTCGTCTGTGCCACACGACAGTAGAAGTCCTGATCCACTTTTGGGGGCCTGGATTTACTTCTAGCATTAAGGTTAGTCAATAAATATAATAACACTGATATCATTGTTATCTGTAAGACTTGCATAAGCAGGAGGCTCATACTGAAAAGTGGGTAGAGTGAGGAAGGAAGGGCCAAGTGAGGCATTAGGGCAAGTGGAACAGCAGCCTCTGCCTTCCCAGGCAGTGTGACCTCCAGACAGGCTCTTCCTATTCATCCTAGCTCTTGGTTTTCCTCAAGAAGTCTGGCAAAGGATCAGGCAGTGCATAATGGAAAGGCTGCTGAATGCTGCAAGGGACAAACCCCCCAGCATTTGGTGTTTCTTTTTGTAGCACTGGGAGATGTGGACTGGGTAATCCAATATGGCTTTTATGTCTTATCTGGTATTGTTTGCAGCAGGCCTGTTTAGTGAGCATGTCACCTTTAGGCACTGGTGGTGAACAACATCTGAAAATGGAACCTTACCCAGCTGCTGGCTGAGCAGTACGAGGGCACAGCCCCAGAGAACGGGGCCGATGAGGGGCCACCACCCATGGCACCCTGTGCCAGCTGCCTTGGATTTAAGGCTTCACATGTGAACATGTGGTGAAATACAACGATGCAGTTTGGAAATATCAGTGGAAAATAATACATCTTTATTTATCCCTATTTTCTTGTTTGCAGATCTGTGCAGCCACAAATAACAGATCGATGTGTTTGCTTACATCCATGTTGCATCTTATATCTGTTTATTAACAGGTACAAAATATCCCTGTCTCTGCCCAGTGTTTTAGGAATTGTAGAAGGGTTTTTGACTCACTGATTAATATAGATTTTTTTATCTATTGAGAACAGGGCTGAAAGTGGACTCACCAAAAAATGCCCCGTAAATGGTGTTTTTACTGTTGTCTCTTAGTGACTACCATTCAAAAGGGTCTCAGCACTACTGTATTTTGCCATCTCTGTTAAGTAGAATATAAAATTATATATAAATATATAATTAAATATTAATTTAAATATATATATACACTTAAATCTAGCTTTACAGCACTTTGGGGAAGATGGGGCTAACTTTGACCCAATTTTTCACTGATGTGATTAGTGGTTCTATGTGCCTCTAACTGAAATCCATTAAAAGGTGCTGCCTTCTTAAAGCTTCATCTCTGGTGATCAAGTTTCTTTGAGGAGTTTGCAGTTACCCACTCAAAAATAGACTTGCTAACAGTCACTAAGTAATTTCTGAATATTTAGGTCACTTCTCATTTCTAGTTTTCACCTTTGGAGACAGAACCTGGTGCAGGTAGTTATTGGTCTGAACTCTCTTCTGTTCCCACTTAAATAATTGAGAATTCTGCCATGAGCTTCGATGGCCAGGACTTTGAGATCTTTTTCCTCTGATCTGGTGGAAGTGTTTGCAGAACAGGGCATTTCCCACGGTGTCAATGTTCTGATGCAAAACTCCCGCTGTGCTCCTGACACACCTGCTGGGACTGAGGCTGCACACCCCTCCCGTGCCCAGGGGTGCCCTGTGTGACCTGAGGGGCAGCCAGGAGAGTCTGATGGGACATGCTCGAGCTGCTGCAGTGGGACTGATATCAGCCTGACCCCGGGAGTTCCATCCTAAGAACTGCTGTGTGCTGTAATTCCTTTTTTCTTGGCCGGTTCACGTGTACCTTTCGCTGTTGGCTTTTTATTTCCCACTTTCTTTAGGAGTTAAAGGGGAACAAACACGGGTTCTGGATTGTCAGCTTAGAAGTTCTTGTAACTTTTCTTTTCAAGGTGAGAGGTTTCTCTCCATTGGTTTTGTAAGCTATTATTAAAAGGTCTTCAGCATGTCTGGAGTGTCACTGCTGCAGGTCCCTGCTGGCCATGTCACTTGGCACAGACACCCTCTGGAGCTCTGCTGGGGCAGGTGTCAGGAGTCTGAATGCTGCAAAGCCACCTCTTGCACTTTGGTGTGTTCCAGTCTCCTCTTTCCAAGCTGCTGTACAGCCTCGTGGAAGGACTGTTAAAAGGCAACACTAATGGCACTGGCTCAAGATTCTCTTGCAAGCTTAAATGTACCAAAGTTTCAGCATTGCTGCCTTCACAGTTCCATGTTTTGGGGTGGTGTATCCCTTGCTCCCCTTCAAGTCCAAACCTTTTGGTTAGCTAGGAGTTCTTTTGACTGAAAAAGCCATGTCAGTGTAAGCCCAAGATGGTTTAGGGTTTGGGAATAACTTCTTTCCCTTCCTTTTCTGTGATTTCAACCGTATCTGGACTTGGGGATTTGCTGAGCTTCAACAATCCCATTATAACCAAAGCAATGCAATTTGCCTGTAGACAAGCTCTTAATGTCATTTACAGTGATTATACCTGTGTTAAAATCACAGTATTGGTCCAAAGCAATGCGTTGTTTTAAACGGTTATTTTAAATAATTGTAAAACTAATTGGTCAGCCTTTTAAATATCTTTTCTTCAAATACTTTTCCTCTCCTCTTTGATGTATTGATATTATGAGGCCTCCTCTCGTTGTCTCTCAGTGACTCTCAGGTGCAGCCAGACTCACCTCATGGCAGTGTCACAGTGATATTGTGCACATCAGACTTTGGGACAGGGTGGGCTCTTCATCCCGGGAAGCCACGGCCAGCGTGGGCCCGGGAGCGCTGGGCAGGGCTGGGCTCTGCCTGGGAATTACCAGGACATTAATTACTGCCAGAAGAGGAGTGGAACTGGGAACACACGAGTTGCTATCAGCTTCGTAAATGAGTCACCAAAAGAGAGAAAAAAACCTCCTATTAAATCAGGCTCTTCTTACACCATCAACTTGTCAGAAGTGTGAGACCTGGGCAAACGCTTTCAGCATCTGAAGAGATGATGCCTCTGCAGTGCGCTCGGTTTCGTCCTGTCTTTAAACATTTTCTAATGCCAAACAAATGCCGTTCGGGTTTATGTGCTCAGACTAACAGTGACATCCAGTGGCTGAGCGACCCAACCACGGGAACAGTCACTGCGGGTGGAGCGGCCGAAGGGATGTTTGCGGTGATTTAGATCAGATGGAGTTTATAGTGAATATGTAACATGCCATCCTCGGGACGTGTGTGACAGCCAAACCACTCTCACCTTCACACTTGTTCTCTTGGGAGGACGGTGGTGAAGGTGCAGTGTCTAGAGGAGGGATCACTGTGAGTCTCCTGCAGTGGTGGAGACTGGGCACAAATTGACTCCGGGTTTAAAACTCTCCTTTCATCTCTCCAGACCAGTCTCACTGAGTCTGTGAGCACTTTGGGCATGAGCAAAGCTGATGGCTGTTCTGAGAGCTGCCTGAGCACTGGGGAACACGCAGGGCTGCAGCAGCAGTGCTGGTCCAAGATGTGGAAGGTTGTTTGATGTGCTCCTGAGTGCTCCAAAGCCTTTAGAAGGAAAATACACTCAGAAAAGGCAACTAGAACTGATAGTGCAGTGTCATAAACACTGCTGGGGTTTCTCTGAGCCCCTGGAGCATCTGATCAGAGTACATGCAGAGTGGAAAGTTTATTTATTACTGAGAGGTGATTCATTACTGGCCTTGGGCCCAAAGGCAGCAGCTGGAGCCACTCTTGCCAAATGGGACCCTTGCGGCCATGGGCACATCACAGGTGAGGGATAATCCATTTCTCTTTGGGATGGCTGCTGCACCTCTCCTGATGGCAAACATCCATCCTCCTCTTACTGCTCAGCTTCTTGAGAGCCATTTGTGTTTTGTTTGTGGTCTGCAAGTTAAGGGAGAGCTTAATGACATAGAATTCACAGAGCTGTAGGATGGTAATGATGACAGCAGTGCCACGTTCTAGGAACAAGCCTGGGTTCAGAGAAACCTCGCACAGAGCGCCACCGGCTCCCAGAGGCCTTCTGACATTAAGAGTACAAATAGCTTGAGAGAATAAATGGTTGCTTCCAGCATGAACAGAGCTAATTTTAGACAGGAGTCCCTAATGTGCCTGTCGGTGCTTCCAAATGAATGATTAAAGATAAAAATAGATTTATCATGTTTTCCCTTGCACTGGGCCTCAGATCTGTGGGCAATACGGAATCACCTGCTGCAAACACCCATGTGAGCCTGCCCTAATGTACTCTGGAAATGATTCCACAGTGTCCATTGAGCACAGCTAATTGCACTGTCACAACTGGAGACATTCCCATCCTGATTGCAGTTAAAGAAGCACCTGGTAAATTTGTTTTGACTTTGCTGTCTCCTGGTTAACGTAAAAGTGCAGGGGATGTAAGGCCTGTTCTGTGCTATACTTCATTTTCTCCTAAGAACCTGCCAGTGAACTGCACACACAATGACAAATGTGCTTTGTAAGGCTGATCTGAACATAGATATTGTCTTTTTCTGTTTGTTTTCCCCACAAATCTTTGTTTAGTTTAGTGGTTTTGTTTATTTACTGTATAATTGAACTTTTGAAGACAGCATCCATTTCAGAAAAATTTTTCTCCTAAAATAACTCCATGTCACTTATCTCTGTCTTGTGGCCTGATTTCTAACAAATATATCAGATATATATGTTAAAATATTCATAGCACCAGTAATACAGAAATATTGCGACATCATCACTGGAAGCCTTAAACACACACACCTGTAAATTCTGTCTGTGTCACAGAGGTGCAGTGTACCTGTGGCAGCTCCTCCCTGAGCATCCACAGGGGCTGGCAAAGCATCCTCCCCAAAATACCTGATGAGAAGATACCTTCACCACACCTGCTCAAGGCCCAAAGTATTTCACTCTTTTTATAGGCACATCATTCATCAAAAAAGTTAACAGATTTTGTATCTAAGTGTTTAATTAGCAACTAAAGAGTAAGGCCAGAAAAAATCAGTTCATTGTTTTTCATGGATACAAAGTACATTTGCCTTCACTATGCAGAGCAATACATTTATAGTAAGACTTTATTCTTTCAAGGTTCACGGGTCAAGATTAATCAGTTGTGACCTTGGCACACAGCTCTTCTCTTCATGAAGTAAAAGCTGAGCAAGGGAATCTGAAACAAGGACCTGTACGTTTATATAGAACTGGGTCTGATTGAATGGTTGAAATGTAATTGAACAGCAAAAATAACATTCCTTTACAGAGGGAGAATTAAAGACCTTTGGAAAAAGAGAGGTGAAATATGAGTAATTTTTCAGTGAAGTGACATTATGAATTAATCTCTAACATGGCTGAGGTTGACAGTTACAGTTCCGTTCCTACTGTAATCCTTTCTCCAGAGCAGTTCTTCCTGCTTAAAATATTCAGAGAGAAAGATACAAACATCAACATTTGAAATGTGAGGTGCTTTGATGGCAGAGTGTTCACTGCCAAACAGAATTCACGTTTGTTTCTGCTTGGCATCTTTATTTACAGAAACTTTGAAGGTTTTATTTACCTCATATGTTCTGTAGTAGCAAACCAGACTCTAGCAGGGTAATAGGTTGCTGCAATCACCCTGGCAGTTCCAACCACCAGCAACAGGACCAGATTCCCTGCATCCCAACTCCACTGGGACCTTCCAGGAGAGCAAAGCTCCTGCCTCAGCTGTCTGAGTTCACAGACCTCTGCCTGAATGACAAGGAGCAGCTTTGGGCTATTTCCTGACAGGGACTTTTCAGTGATTATTTACCTAAATAGGGTTAAGGGTTAGGGTTAGTTAGATATTTGGATATTCAGTTATTATTTACCTAAATAAACTCATCTCTTTCATTCTTCTTTTTTTTATACCCCCTGAGCATCCCAGACCTCTGCCCTGCTGTACCAGTGTGGTTTCCCTTGACAGGGGAATTCCTCAAGCACTGTTTTTGGCTAGTTTATTTTGTGCTCCTTGTTAGCCTTGGCCCACCAGACAGTCTTGACCTGAGAGTTTTGATGATTTTTATTTGTGCCTCTGAAAACAAGAAGCCTTTGTAGTTCCATGCATAATCCTGGCTTGAAAGCCCCTGTGCTGCTTGGGGTCTGGCTGCACTGATCTGTTCTGTGGTGCTCAGCTCTCTCCACAACCCTTTTCAAATCGTCCACTCTACAGTTTAGCAAATCTTCACCTATTTCCACAGATGTAGAAGCAATTCCAAAAAGGAGTATTTTTGCTTAGTGATGTAGTTTTCTCTGCCCTGCTCTATCCTACACATTATCCACTAAAGTATACACATGGCTACATAGAAAATGCATGACTGTCACCATCAAGAGGAATTCTTTTGAGCCACAACCTTTCTTCCTATTTCCTTGAGGTTTTATGAGCTTCCCTGCCGAGACTAATCAATATGTAAACCTCAGCACGTTTGTAGCTGGTCTCATCTTTGTATATTAAAAGTTGTATTTCATAGCTTCTAGGTCTTGTAATTTCATCAAATCTTCCATGATATTTACCTTTTCCTTAACTCCTACAGGCAAGGGGTTTGTTACTTTAAATATTCTATTCATTTTTGCAGTTGTTGACAAAAACTTGCAAATCTGACCCTGCAGGCTTGAAGATTTCTAGGGGCATTTGCAAAGCACAAAAGCTTAAAGTGAGGCACTATTTTAAAGCTTGGCTCAAGAGGGTCTTCATCCTGATTCACGTGTTTGGAATTGCAGGACTCTAACCTACTGTTCATCCTCTCTAATACCTCATATTGATGTTCCAGCCAGAGGAAGGACTCAGGAGCCAGCCTGTCGGGGCTGTTGGTGGCCCTGGGGTAGCTCAGGTGCAGTACCTGCTCCCCAGCCACTCAGCCTGGGGCAGCAGTGCCAGCAGGGCTGTCAGCACGGCCAGGGAGGGCCAGCACTGCCCCACACCTGGGTGGCTGTTCCCTGTGCCAGCACTGTGTGCCCAGCACTGTGTGCCCAGCACTGCCCCACACCTGGGTGGCTGTTCCCTGTGCCAGCACTGTGTGCCCAGCACTGCCCCACACCTGGGTGGCTGTTCCCTGTGCCAGCACTGTGTGCCCAGCACTGTGTGCCCAGCACTGCCCCACACCTGGGTGGCTGTTCCCTGTGCCCATCATCACACTGATTGGTGTTGTTTGAACCCAAACCAGGATTTCTACTGCCTTTTCATAAATCCACTGAATCATTTATATTTGTATTAAGGTTTATAATCTTGTTTTTGAAAAAGGAGCACTGACCTTTGGCTGGTGTCATTTGCTAGACTTCCTCCAAGCGATGCCGTCAGGAATTACAGGGATAATGAGGTGGAACAATTTATTAATCTGTCATCCCTGAGCAAATGGGCTACATTTGTTTTGGAGCCTTAATGTAGTGGTCATGGGTTAACCAGCTTGTAAAATCCCATGGGGTTTTCTTTCCAGGTAGGAATAGACTGGGATCTTACTGACTTACCGTATATCAAGGAAAATAACGGGTGAAATCTATAATTAGTGTAAAAACTCTGTGGATTTTCGTAGGGTCAGGAATTCACTGATGCTTTCACTGCTGCAATTCATTGCACCCACAGAGCTCTGGAGTGGCTTCAGCAGAACTCCAGCCAGCACTGCAACCTGCAGGTCCAGGAGCTCACCTGACAGATTTGGTCACCTGGGCTTGATACCAGAACAGCTGGAGTTCTCAGACATCAAACCCATAATTAAGGCCTTTATTGAACTGTTGATTTTTTTAAACTATACTTTTATATCCTTTTGTATCCTTAACTGCACAATTTATTGTAATTCACACAAAAATAACTGTGGCATTGACTTGCAGCTATTTAGTATTAGTCAACAGTTTGGAAATTATCTCAGAACAGAGTTGATTGTGACACAGGCTGAAGCAATACAGTACAGTCCAATTCATCCTAATGCACATTTAAATATTCATGCTACAAGAAGATAATTGTTTTGAAGTGTTGGCTAGCAAACCCTGGAAAGTACAGTTTGCCTCAATCTTACAGCAAATTTGTTAAAGCATTTGGTATTTTCTGTAGGAGAGTACTAATGAGCCAGTGTTTGATACCATCGACATTTTTTCCTATTAACTGTCATGAAGAATTGTAAATGTGGTGGACACTTGTGGACAAGCATAACTCTTAGTGTCCTTTTCAGAACTAAACTTGTAGTGGGTTGTAGATCTAATTTTGGTAGTGAATTCAACCAAAAAACCCACCAGAACCCTTGGCATGAGACTATTGTAATGTGCAGAAAGTTTCTGGTGCCCTAACTTCCATCATAAGAGCTTGTAGGTTGTGCTTTTGGCTGGTGTAAGGATGAATTTCTTCAGCAACTGCTATTCCCCAATACGTATCCTGAGTTGAGGCAGAGAAGCTGTTTGTGTATGAGGTCAGTGGGAAACTGCTACTCCACAGCTAGAACACGGGGGCAAGAAATCAGCAAATTCGGCTTTGAATCAATGAAATCTTCCTTTAAGGCTGCTTGGCAGTTCCAGGTGTACTTGTTCTGCACTGAAATGCAAATCTACCATTTGAAAGATGCAAGTGTTTTCAGATTAATCAAAATTCCATTGTACTTTCCTCCTAAATTTCAGCTGCTCCTTTTCATTGCCCATCACACACACACTTGCTTCCATTTCACATTTTCAGCTAGTGTGTGCAGAAAGAAAATTTCATTATGAAAACCCCTGCTAGGAGTGTGCTGTGCTGCTCCCAGGGCATGCCCAGATCTAATCTGGGATTATCTCCCTCCCGACAGCTGCCTGCTGAACTGCTGCTCCCAGCCCAGACCTCGTGTCCCGCACGTTCCCGGGTGCTGAGTCGGCACAGGAGCGGGGCTGGCTCGGGGCTGGCTCCGGCCCCTCCTCGCGCCTCCAGAGGCAAACCAAGTGTCTGATACCACTTCTGGCAGCAGGAGCTGCACAGCCTGGTTGCTCAGGCACTGTCATTAGTCCTTGCTCTCTAAATCTTTCATAACAGCTATTGAGTACACTCTTATTATTTCACAACTCTGCACCTTTTTCTTTGCTGTTTGCTCTGATGCACCAACAGTGGAGAGCAGCAGCACATTTATGTGCTAACAGCCCAGATAACAGACATGATAAATAAACATATAGAAACCTGGAGGAACTTAATGCAGAGCCTTATTTCAATTTTTTTATGCATCCAAAAATCAATAAAGGTTTTGTCATTCTCTTCTGACCTCTCATCTGACCTAGTTCTCTTTTAGTCTAGAATTATTCCTTCCCCTTTCCCTCCTCCTCTGGTCTTCTTTCCAGAGGACCACTTTGGTAACTTTTAACTCCCTTATTAGCTAAGCTTCTGCAAAGACAGCAGAAGAATGAATTCCATGGGAAATTATGTGTGCAGACTTTCTCATTTGAAGAGGTGATTATCCTATAACAGTCTCTGACCACTCCACATTTGCCATCCACTGACAGTGCTGCAGGACTCCCAGTTAAATGATATGGCATAATTTTACATCATCTCACTCACTCTTCTAAAATCAAACTGCCCTTGCAGTGAGCAGCTGACACCTACAGCCATATGCTGATCTGTCTCAAAGTGTAATGTAAGCCTTTCTCTAGGATTTGCATTTTTGAAGGTAAATCTACAGATTCCCTCACCTGAGCAGACTCTCCACAGGAGCTGCAGCCAGTCAGCAGTCTTTACAGCCTCCCTTACTGTTTTCTTCTCTCTGACTCCCAATGTGCCTTGTCTGTTTTGATCTGCTCTTGTATTTTTCTGAGAAGATGAAGAACCAAAAAGTCAGGGTCTTGCATGGTACTCTCATC